GGATCAGAAAGGAGAGAGCAGCACAAAGGATGTCACCCTTCCTCACCCCAGTCAGTCCTGGTACCTGAAAGTGCTTCACTGTGACCTGTACGCTCTCACAGTGCATCATCACTCACGTCCCATCTGTCCCACCCTTCTAACTCAAATGGATGTTCTTAATGCAGATCACTTCACCTTGATGTGCTTCCATTATTTAAATTCCCCTCAATTAATCAGTCAGTCACTCATATATTTGTTGTAATCGTTTCACAGTGACCATCATCACAATGTGCTTCACACAGTGATTCGGCCAAAGGGACTATAGTGGGGGGATTTTAATTTAACTCACACTGCTTGGAAACGTTCACTAGGGACGCCAGCAGCTGACCCTGAGAACATGGGTATGGATAATTCTGCTTTCTTCCTCTGTTTGTCAGAGCACCCACTCGAGTATGTTTTAAACCCGTACAAGCAGAATCCGGTTATCTCAAGTATTTAGAAAAGCTAGGTCTTCCTTAACTATCTTGTTTCAGTTCTCTGAGCAATAGCAATAATGGATTCAAACAGAAAATATGAAATGGCTTGTTTAGATTTTCAGAAGGCTATTTGTAAAGTTCCTCATAGAAGTAATTTTAGGTTGTACACATTCTACGTAATGCTTATATATGGATATAGAACTTTTTAATGGTAAAAAAAACATCACTGATGCATTTTCTGATCCACTTATGTTCTTTAGAGTGAAATGCTCAAATTGAGTCAATCTAATCATTGATGTTCCACAGGGATCTCTGTTAATTTTTATTAGTGATTAAGATTCTCTTACAGTTGGCCAGTTATCCATGTTCCTATATGATACCAAAATAGGAGTGTTAGGAAACACTTTAGAAGCTCCAAAGCAAGTTCAAAAGGACTTTGTATTTTAGAAAATACAAAACGTGGCAAACACCTGAGAAATGACATTTAATAATAAATAAACATAGGCTAAGATGAAAATCGGAGCGTTTGAAGAAGCTAATGATGAAAAGTGCTTAGGTTTTTACTTTGTCCTCTAGAATTTAGGATATTGTGTACAATGTTGGTCACCACATTCCAAAAAGGATCTTGTTGCTCTGGAACCAAGTCCAGAGACCAGATTCATCCCAGGTTTAAAGGGATGTCCTGTGGACTATAATAACTGAATCTTTTTAGTCTTGAACAGAGTACACTACATGCAGTTACAGAATCAGCAGTGAAAAACAAATTGAAGGACATGTGGAAGCTATGGGGAGGTGCCTTTCACACAGAAAAAAGGAGACACTTTTTTGCTCATGGATGTTAAGTCAGGAACAAACTACCCAGCCATGTGTTCATGAATGATGTACTGTCTTCTTTCCTTGGATTCTCGGATCAATTATCGACTAACTACTGAACGAGTTAGATGACCTAAATGGCATCTTCTCATATATAACCTTTCATATTATCATCTGTTCAAACACTCCCAAATACCCCTAAAGCCAGTACAGGGCTAGGTGAGAGTGAATATGGGTTCCATAAGTGTTAGACATATTCTGAAACAGAGGCCTCTTCCAGCAGAAGAAACTGTTTGCAGTAAGTGAGCTGGAAAATGATACAGCAGTTACTGAGATTACCCTTGTAAAACACCACTGAAGAGAGAGTACAGGCTACGGCAGGCCTGCTCTCAGATCTACGGGCTGTTATTTCCTTCAGAGGGTAATAAGAGTTAGAAACCTAACCAGCCTCCACTCCTGTCTGCTCTCAGAGGCATTGCATTACAGTGCCTCTAGCTTCACATCACAGGCTGCTTTGCATTGCTGAGAGCTTGTGAGGTAGCCCGCCCAGGAAAACACACATACCTTTTTGTCTTTTTATTGCTGGTAGCCCCTTTTATAAAAGATGTGCAGAAAGAGTTCTGTTTGTAAGGTAACGATGGCTTCGTTAACGGCGGTTTCGTGACAGACCCCTGAAAATAAACCGAATCAAGTCATTACCATTAGTTCACAGTAATAAAATTTGATTTCTTTAAAAAGACCTATTTGTTCCTGTTCAGATCAGTGGTCTTTAGGAACTGCTTTTGTAGACGTCTTCAATCAGTGGTTGAAGGCCATATGAATCTTGAACCAATAGTAAAGCAGTTGATTTGAAGCTTGTTTGGTGTGACAAGGATCTGTGGCTTTTTAGGATCAGCACTGGATACTCCCAAGGCAAAAAAGATTGAAATAGGCGTTGTTAATATTATTGAAATGGCCATAACCCCAGTTTGAATGTTCACTTGAGGTTAACTGTTCTTTTCCACTATGTACATTTATTGCTGATGTTTTTTTTTAACAGTTTTCAGTTTTGCCGTCTGTAGCCTCTGTTCACAGAAGTCCTCCTGCTCATGCCAACCACAGAAGGTGGAGGCCATGGAGCAGGAAGCAACTGATTTAGCATCTGTTCCACAGCCTGTAAAAGAGTCCTTTGTGCCCAAAGTGAAAATGATCCCCACATGTGGAGCTGCAGAGCAGGTGTCTTTGATTGGGGATTTGCAGGAATGCCGTGCCCCAGGAGTTATTCCAGTAAGCAGGTCTCCTAACAAGAACCTGGACATTCTGAGCCCTTCAAGTTAACTGCACACAACTGAGCCATCCGAGATAGACAGAAGGCTTATCTGACTTGAATTAGCAATGGGAAAGTGAATCGTAAATTAATTCCATGCTAGATTTAGGGCTGGACTGCGATGAGAATAGGGCGAGGAATAAGGGGTTGGAGTAGACATTGGAAATACAAACCTGCAGGATCTTTTAAGTTGAGAAATTGGAGTACTGTGAAGGACTGATTGAAATTCGAACCATAGGTTCGTGTAAGTGAGTTTTTCAGAACAGAGATGACCTGGAATCAAAGGAACTTGTTAGTCCCTCTATTACAAGCTTCGGTAAAAAAAAACAGTGCGAGTCAGACTGAGTTAAATTTGACACAAATATTCTGTCTCGGCTTTCATTTCTTCAAAGATTGTGGTCAGCGCCTTCACCTGTACCTGTACAGTTTTTTTGGGGGAAAGTTTTAGCTGGACAGCAACCCTTTACAAAACAAGGCCTGCAGTTTTGTTGAAGAAAGACTTGATCCATGTTTTCTGTGTTCGCATAGTTTCCAAAAAAAGTTACCTGTTAGCGTAGACAGAGAAATAATGTGGGTATTAAACAGGAGAAAGTGAGGGAGAGATGAGGAGAGGAGCTAAAGGAAGAGAGAAGTGTTTACTTTTATTATTGTTAGTATTTTAAAATGGCTTTTCCCTTAGGCCTGGCCAGAGATCTCATTTAAGCTTTTCAAAAAGTTGAAACTGCAGCAGATTGTGTTGGCTCTTAATGGAAAGTATCACATTCTTCAAGGAACAGGGTGTTACAGGGTCAAATAAAAACAGTAGCAGACATGCAATGCTGTGTCAGAATGGTGGGACTATTAATTCATTGCCCTGTGTATCATTGTAATAGAGCTGCCAGCTATTCCCAGTCATAGAAAATCTATACAATCACAGATACAGACACAAGAAAAATGTTTTTTTATTATTTCTGTGCTCAGTTTCTAAAAAAAAGTGACCTATAACCGTAGATGAGAAGTATATTAAACAGGAGAAACTGAGGGAGAGAAATGAGGAGAGGGGCTCAGGGAAGAGAGGAGAGGCTGGCCTGAGACATCCGGCAGAGGGAAGAGGGGACAGAGGGAGAACTGGAGAGAGGGAGCGAGTAGGTGGAAGGAGTGAAAGAGGAAGCCGGCTCAGTGCAGTCCATCAAACGCGGGAGATGATGATGGGCTGGGCAGTTAATCGGGTACAGTTAATTGTACGGTTTGAGATGGCATCTTGTCAGCAGAGATAAGTTGTCACGTTTTCCACTTGAGCTGAGACTAAATGATTGTAAAATAAGTTATGAGTGTCCTTGGGGCTGTCTGCCGTTGCGAAAGGCTGGGAGTGCATTCAGCGCCAGAGAGGGGGGCCCCCCATCACTCCAGCTAGCCTGGCTTGATATTTATGTGAACTGAATGTTATTTTATTCAGCCCCTAGTCACAGCTGTCAGCTCCGCGTATGAAAAGTGAAACGGCCTCTCTCCCTCATGCTTCATGCTTGCCATTCACAGAGGAAGGAATATTATTATTGTTATTATTATTTATGCACAATTTATTCATTATTAGTATGATAATTGTCCGGTGAATCAGTTTTTCATTATTATTAGAACTGGAATAGCAAGAAGCACTAGGTAACAGAGGGAGATGAAGATTAGTACCAGGAGCTGTCCGCTGTGATGAGCCCACCTAGTCTTGAGCCTGTCAGTGAGGAGCTTTGGCCTCAGTGCCCAGTCTGTGAGTAGCCAGTGCTGTGCTACTGCATCTGACATTGTGTGTCCTCCCCTCCTCCTGCTGCCTTTTCTGAACTTTAAGCTTAAGACATTAAGATGGTGCATTTCAGTTCTCCTTTGTTTCAGGGGCTGTGATTGATATGTAATATATGCCCCCCACCCACACACACACAACACCTTTTTAATGTTTGTTGTGTTTATTTTTGTTATTGTTGGTATTTTAAAATTGCTTTTCTCTCAGGCCAGGCCACAGGTCTCATTTTAGCTTTTTGAAAACTTGAAACCGCAGCCGACCTGTCTTGGCCGCTAATGGAAAGAGTCTCATTCTGCAAGGAACAGTGTGTTACAGGGTAAAATAAACGCAGTAGCACACATGCATGCTGTGTCAGAATGGTGGGCCTGGGTTCATTCGTTGTCCCGTGCGTCGTTATAATAGAGCTGCCAACCATGGAGCTTGCCCATCACAGAAAATCTCTACAATCACAGCTACACGACGCATGAAAAATAGGTTTTGCAAGTTTTTTTCTTGCTGTAATGTGAAGTAAACCTCAAAATAAGATGCGTGATGGAAAACGTCAGCGTTCTGGCTGTACTGAGCTCCAGAGATGTGGTACTGCAGCAGTGCTCTGACTGACTCTAACCTCCCGTCCTCTCCCATCCCCACTCCCCTCCTCCCCTGTCGCCTCCTGCAGACACGGGCCTGGGAGACTCGGTGTGCTCCAGCCCCAGCATCTCCAGCACCACCAGCCCCAAGCTGGACCCGCCACCCTCCCCGCACGCCAACCGCAAGAAGCACAGGAGGAAGAAGAGCACCAGCAACTTCAAAGCAGATGGCATCTCCGGCGCCGCTGAAGGTAAACTCGGCCCTTGCTCCTTCGCTCGGCTCGGTAACAGCGCTGTCCCCTAACGAAAAGTGCGGGAACTGAAAACTGGAACACGCAAGACTTTGAAAGCGGGCATAGCTGTGCACCGGTTTCATACAGACCAGGTGATGTACCCATTACATGATCAAGTCAGCTGCCCTTAAAACAATCCCAGGGTTCCGAGCAACACGAGCTACGGTCTGCATTTGTCCAAAGAGGCACATTAGGCTAATGTGTACCCAGCGTGTAACCAGTCGTGTCATGAACAGTCCGAGATTCGTATTCTTACATTTCTGTGTGCTTTTAGCTGTAAAAATTGTAGATTTCCCCGTAGTTGCGAAAGTAGAGGGGTTTCTCTGAAGTGAAGCAGTCACCGTCTTCATTAAAGAGGAACTTTTTTCCCTGTGTTGGTGGAGACTGGGCCAGCCCCTCAGGTGTGTCTTCTGTTGCTGTACTGTGTAAATGCTGAGGAGTGTCTTCTTGCATCAGGCTGTGTCCTGAACTTCTTCAGAACTGGGATTCTGCTCTGGAGAGCCTTCCTGACGTTGACACCTACCCACAGTAACACAGACTCATTAATGCACACACACTGATATTAAGAAATTCACTACCACTCGGCTACACACCAACACAGTAATACATTGCAATACTTTGCATGCCAGTCCTGACATGCAGCAATTGCTGACATTGCTGCTGCCTCACGGTGACACAGTGACAAACAGTGACACAGTAACAGTGACATGTAGCGATACACTGACACATGCAGAGTGATGTGCACACTGGCACTTCGTAATCCACCGATTGTGAAACACGGTAACGCCAACGCTGACAGTAATATACTGACACATTAACGCTGGCATGCACTTATAAATCAACACTGACGGGAGCTCACTGATGCTAGCATGCAGTAATTGTGACACTAACACAAGGTAATATACTAACAGTAACACTGACACTAGCACACAGTAAAACACTAACATACTAATACAACTGACAGTAGCACACGGTAATACACTAACAGATATACAGCTGACACACAAGCACTTGCACACGGTTTACCTAACACACTAAAAGTGACAGACAGTAACATTGACAGTGGCACACAGTAACATGCTGACGCACAGTAACTGACGCAGTCATGCATTAAGCAGTAACACATTGATAATAGCACATGGTAACGCACTGACACATGAACACTGACAGTAACACATTGATACTAGCACAAAGCAATGAATCAAAACCAACATTTACACGCTAACAGTGACAATAATATACATAGTAATACACATAGCATACAAACAGTAACATTGACGCTGCACACAGTACACTCTAACACACAGTCATAAGTTGATGACACCGTGACAAAGCCTGTCAATTGGAATGATTTTTTTCCTCCTCATTGTTTTGAATAACAAACCAGGTTACACTGAGGGGGCATTTTTTAAGTTAGCTTTTGTCGTGCAGTATGTTGTAGAACCCCCCCCCAAAAAAGTTGTCACCTTTCAGGAGCAGTTGTTTTTCTGGTGCGAATGTGGATTACAGCTGGCAGGTCAGGCAGCTGGAAATTCCCTCTACTCTGCCAGCTACTCACAGAGAGCGCCAGGGAGTGCTTGTAGCACAGATTATACTGTCCGGCATTCAGAAATAAAATTAAAACAGACCGAGAGAATCTTTACTTGGCACTGTGGAGTTGAATTGTTTTCTTATTTTCTTAATCATTTTTTCTTGCTCTGTGATGGTTTAGAGCCCGACGCAAAGGAGACTTCTTTATTGTTTTGTGTTAGAAAGTTCAGCAGATGTAGTGACTTGGCTTTGGGGGGGTCATGAGTTCATCAGACTGCCTTTTCTTTTCCTTGGTCTTCGTTTGTTGGAGGTGTGGGGGGGTAATAGATGAAAATGGCACGGCGCTCTCCCAGGATGGTTCTCTCACACCAGCGAGGCAGGCTGTGTCTGCTGGAGCTCTCCTCAGTGTTAATGGGCTCTAATGTGCTCGGCCCCAGCTCCTGAGACAGGCCTAATGAGGAGATAAAGAGAGATTAGTATCAATACTGAAGGAGAAAATGAACTCCAAGTGCTCAGCACCATGGGAGGGGAACGGAGCCCAGAACAGGATTAATGTAGCTTTCTTTCCTTTTTATTTAATAAAGGATGGTTTAATATTTATGGCTGGCAGGCCCTGCGATGCGCCTGGCCTGCAGAGTCAGGACTGCTTCTCTGCGTGCTGCAGTGAGCAGAGTGGTTAGATGTATTTTTTTTTAGTTTTTGATTCATTATCTTATTATATGTACTAGCCAGGACTATTATGGAGTCAAAAAGCAGTGGGATACTTGAAAAAAGAATGTTGGTTTGCGTGTTGTGTGAAGCACGTGTTTGTTTTAGGACAGCGCAGAATGACCTTGTGACAGAAGAACATAAGAAAGGTTACCAATAAGAGGACGGCCTTCGGCTCATCTGCTGTCGCTCGTTGGGAGTTTCTATCTAATTGATCCCAGGATGTCACCTAGTCCAATCTTGACAAAACGACAAGGAATCGGCTTCAGCAGCACGGCTGGGTAGCCTGTTTCCCACTCCCACAAACTGGAGGCTGTCGTCTTCAGCACCAGCATCATCATCTTTATCAAATGGTTGCTCAGCTTAAGAAAGCATTCGTTAAGAGTGAAACGTGCTTCGTCCTGTACTGCTGTCAGTCTTCTTCACCTGACATTATAGTCCACTTTTTTTTTTAAAAAGGGACCTCTTGAAAGATGTGTGTATTTTATAAATCTCCACTGCTGTGCATTTTTTCTCTTCGCAGTTGGCTTTAGCGCCTCTTCTTAGGAGCGCCACCCTGTGGCGAAGGGGAGAGGTGTCACCTACAGCAGTGCTTTCAATTAGAGAGGTTCTTTGTGCTCTCTAGCCGAGACCTGCGATTTACTGACTTAATCACTTCCATGGCATCCTCTCTCCATGGCTTTCTAATCTGTGCAGTCTATTGAATAGACCTGAGGTGTGTTATTTAATGTAATACAGAAAGAAAACATACTTTCCAGCTATGTATGAGGACCCCTGTAAAGCAGAACTGTTGTCTGTGTGCACAAGCCTGTTTCCCACTCCTTCTGAACTGTTTTAATCATAACAGCTCAGATGTGAAGTCTGGTAACAGCTTGAACTGGAGATTATCTTTGCTTTGTTTCCTGACAGATGAGAGGTTTCCGTTCATCATTGAGTTCCGGTATCATCCCGTAATACAGACAGACACCTGTGTCACACATAGATGCAGGTGTAACAGAAAATTAGGAGCTGCTCAGCCTCACACCACGCTGTGAGGAGCGACAGCTAAAATAATTGCTAAAAGTAAGCTGTTACTTTAAATGCAGACTATAATAGCTGCGGTCCTTTCGAAATGTAAGATAAAAGATATAAAGCAGTGACTCAGTTCTCACGCTTTTCTAAAAGGCTGAACATTGTTAAGCACTCCCTAGCTGGGTTCCATCTGGCCATTTGTCAGAGAAGCACTTAAGTGAAATATTATAAATAATCTACAGTATTGAAATCTTTTATCAGCTGTGTCACTTTCATTATTCAATAAGCGATTAGTAACAGTCTCCCAATTTAGCCATTAAACACTTGTGCGTTCTGCCTGCGACGGGTGTCATGCTAGCGGCCAGATGAAGTATAATGCTGTCAACGGCATGTTATTCATTGAGACGGTCTCTCCCAGGTAGAGGCAGTTTGCCACGTCCAAGGTTTCATTGTGCTCAGTGCAAACCCCAGCAAGCTCTCTGCTGCCCCCCTTGGCACTGTAATGAGAGGCACTTAAGCCCCGTTCCAGTGGTAGCAAAGCAGTAAAGCTACCCCCAGGGTCCTATATTGTTTTTCAAAATGGGATTTAATCTTGATCAAATATCAATACTGTATACATGCATGCAGATATTTTTCACATTGTTGGTTTAGCTGGCAGGACGGAGGAGGGGGGGTTTGTATAAGGTAGGCAGCGGGCTGTTATTTTTATACTGGATCGTATTGTTTGTGCAGTTAAGAATAGATGTTTGTCCAAAAAACCTAAATATTAGTTTAGCCTTGGTATTCCTGAGGTGGGCAGGAATGTAACACAGCAATATCCTCTGCCTTAATCAGGCTCTATGTTCTTCGTTTCATGCAGTACTTTTAATGCGAGCTATTGAACCTAAGGAGGACACATGGGCAGTTTGAGTAGCTCCAGAATGCTAGAAGGCTATAGAATTCAAATATATTCTGTTAATGTAGCCAAGGATAGTCTGAAGTATGCTAATTATTTCAAAGGGTTATTTAATATGTTTTTAAATGATGGCAAATTGCCTTAAAGGGCAAGAACTAGTTATCGTGAAGTTCAGACTAGTCGATGCCTCTGTCTAAAACAGGTGTGCTTCAGATATATGTACAGCTGCTTGTGGTATTTCAATATGAAGTAAAGCACTGTTCTACCGCTACATTCTGGACCTGACAGCGCACAACAGCAGAGGATCGGCCTTTGGAATTATATTTGTCTTTCCTGCACAGTTGTGTTGCGTTGGCTTAAATTACATAGATGTGCGTAAAACCAGTGTAATGTGCGGTAAATTATGATAACCGTTAGCCTAATTCTTTAATGATCCTTTAGCAGATTTTTTGTGATATTTTTTGTGAGGCACCTGGTAAGAAAAGGGGGCTGACGACCTCTCATATCCAAGGACAGGGCCTTATTCTTCAGAATGATATGTGAAAAAGAGCTGAGCTGAAACGCAAGACTTTAATGTCGGTCTCCGCACAGGACTTGACTGAGTAGGGGGTCTCTAATTAAAAGCTACCTGCTCTCTCGCCTAAAACAAAGGATCTACAGAAGGGCTTTCTTTCATCCAGCCGCTGGTCAGGGAATCATATTCGCCCCACTTATGCACGTGCAGGTCAATAAAAACATTCCCTGTGTCTTCCTAATCTATCTGTGTACTGGAGGAAGGAGAAGAAATGTCAATTCCTCTGCTTTCCTGGTTGGCATAGTATGAATTTTTATCAGCATGTCCCAGTGCAGAGTCTGGTGGTCTGTTGATCACAGTAAAACAATTACAGCCCCGCTGGATACCACTAACTACTGCTCATTAAATAATTATACCTTTGATTAGCTACTTTTAAGTGACTGGGATCTTTGAAATGTGATAGCAGCTTTTGGAAGAGCCTGTTAGTGATATAGGAGTCCTGCAGTGAGTTGGGGATAAAAAGCATCTGACCCATCATTTCCTGAACTTGAAGCGAAGGGGGAGAGAACTGAAACCACAGAGAAGGGGAAAAAGGCCACCAATTACTGGCTTAAAAACATAAAACTAAGAAAACTAGCGAAAGAAAAAAACAACACTACAAAATGGTCACAGCACGCGATAGATGTTATGAAAAATTCCTTTTTTTTTCTTTCAGGAGCAAGTTAGTAAAGTTATTTGGAAAAAAGAATAGGAAAAATGAGTCTGTGTCAGCCATTGTGTGGCCGTGCTTTATGAGTGTTTTAATTCTTCCAGTTCAGTAGTTTACCTGTTGTTAGTGGCAAATTTAATGTGCCTTAACATATATATTTACGAAAAAAGTAATTCCTGAGCTTCATAGATTTAATCAGTAATTTACAAATTGCAATGTAAATTCACTCTGGAATCTCTGGTTTGACGTTCTCATTTATTATTGGTTTGTCAGATTGCCAAGCACATATTGTGAGGAAAGCTGTACCTCTGAACTGAAACCACGTTTTTTACTTTCCACTGCAAAGCAAGTTGGTGTTTACCTCAGTCCCTTTGGGACTGTTTGGCAGCTTCAATGTAATCAAATGAAGTCAGGGGAAAAAAACATGAATGCAATTGCACCCTGCATTATAGGGAGCAACTGCATTAGTTTATGCAGTTTTTGTAGGGGAAAGACACTGATTTTCTTTTTATTTTCAGCTTTGTGCACATGCTAGCCTGTAGGAGGCGAGTCTGAGCAAGTTTGGTTGACTAAGGATGTTGTTTGGATCGCACAAAAGAGCTCCAATGAGCATGCGTGCCTCAGTCCCAGCAAGGGCACTAGATGTGTTTAAAATGATTACTAGGCAAAGCCACATGGGAACTGGCTGACCTCAGCCTTTTAGATAAGGAAGAGGGGGAAAATGCAGAATCCTCTCCCATTGTCACCTTTTCTCAAGAATCTGGTAGCTTAAAATGCAAGGGAAACTTGTAAAAACAGGCCCATTTTTCCTTTAATGCTGAGAGAAGAGTATTTCCACTACATTTCGCATCGAGTATCTGCACCCAGCAGGTGTATCTGACTAGGAAAACACAGACACTGCACAACTGATTTATTTGCCGTGTTCAACAGCTTTAAATTCTGGAACCACTCAGCGGACACACAAACTCTAATGTGTATGAACAGATGCGTGATTTTGTCAAGCCCGTACCTACTACAAGCGGAGGAACGTGGCTCTCTTCTAGCATTTCCACTGCAGACTTTCATGGAAAGTTTGACTACATGAACAGTAAGTAGCTAAAGCTACTTGGTGGTGACGGAACGATTCTCCTCAAGCGGCCTTAAGGCGGAGGAGAGGATAACATTGTGAGCTGCCCTGCTGCTGTGAGACTTGCACTGAAAGCTATTAACTAAAGAGGTCTACTGGCCAGACTCTCCAGTCTGTGTCAAGCCAAGTAACAAGAGGATTGACAAGCATGGTGTACTTACATGCTTCCATTGTGCTCTGTTGTACCAAAATGCGATGCGGAATTGGATAATTGTTAACTTTATTTGAACTTGTTCAGGTGGGTAGCTGCGTCAGCATGCGTAGGCTGCAAAGGAACAAGTAATAGGTTTATTCCATGCTGAAAAGAGAAGAAAGAAAACACAACGTTTTGGCTGTGGAGCCTTCTTCAGGTGTTGTTTATTTGAACTTATTACCTTTGAATTTATTTGCAAGAAGACATGGTATTAGTGGTGTGTTGTTCTGTGTGTAATGCTTCATTACCAAGTCCAAGTGATGATCAGTGTAGAAGACCTTCAGAATGACTGAAATTCTGCATGCTTTATCAATTAAAACGTTCATGCACAAAAGGCTGAGACCAGATCTGAAAGAGTAGTAAAACTTTTCAGAACATTGATTTGTTTTGCAGCTTTTGTTTTTTTTCTTTTTTTATTTGAACTGTTGAAAAAAATGCATTCTTTCAGAGTGTGTATGTACGTGTTTTTATTTCATTTTAAGCGTTGGTTGTTTAATGTGTGACAAATGCCCCTTATTGCTTCAGGCTATGGGAAAGTAATACAGAATGAGAACTTGAAGCACCGAGGCTGAGGAAGAGATGGACAGGAAAATAAGTGGTTATTTAAAGTGTGTAAAATGGACCTTATTAAAGAAGCTTGAACCAAGCTATTGTGCTGATGGACTCTGAATGCATTACACAGCTGAGCTGGAAAAAGAGCACGAGGTGTTGAAAAGATCGTGAAAGATTTGTACCCCTGCAGGTACTGTAGAATTGAAACCATTTGGTCAACTTTACATTTATGCTGTGGTGGAGTAGGTCTTTGGTTTCAGAAGAACAAGAAAACGAGCAGGACTTGTGTAAGTACCCTGTCCTGTAGTACAACTGAATGTGGCCAGCCTCTATTACTCTTTTTTAACATTATCTGACTTTGTTCATAGATTTAGATGGGGATTTATTTTCCTCAGGTGTTGCCAGGATATAATGTCAGAAAGCTAATGAAAGCAGAAACTGTGAGTGTTTTATTTCTGGGATTTTATTCTGTTGTCGCAAATAGTTTTGTACGCTCTGCTGCTGACCTCTCCAGATGATTTCATTGACAGTCATGTGGTTGTTCCCCATGTCTTGCTGAAGCCATGCCTGTCTCACCTAAGAAAGACATCCTTTTCCTCCTCCACACCTGAGCTTTCCCCTTGTATGTGGGTTTTGCTTTGGTGATTAAAGGAATAAACAGTTTGGTGCACTGTTTTCCTAACCACTGAATGTCCACAAGAATGCTCTTTACCTCTTAAGATCAATGAGGCAGGTGCAGTTTAAAATGACTGTATCGCCTTTTCAGCATGTAATGACCCACGTTTAGTGTTTCAGAAAGGGACATTAAATTCCAATAATCGCTGAAGCTGCGTGATGCAGTGTCCCCTGGCAAACATGTTGTGTCTTTAATTCTAAGGAAATTGACTTCTGCTTTAACTCATTTTACCAGCTTACTGAGTTGTAATCCACTTGGTTTAACTTAATAAAGATTTCTAGAAGGGCACATTAATCACAGTAGATACCTTACTTGAGGATTGCTGATATATCTGCCATCATTTATTCCAGGTTTAAAACTAAGTACTGTTGTAGTTTAGTATTTCTATTTGCAAAACTTAGCAGAACTTAGCAGTTTATTTACATCTTTAATGCCTGGGCAAATTTCACAATGTTTTTTTTTATGCCATCTACTTTAGTTTGTATCAGGGTCATTATTGCATTACTTTACACATTTTTTGAGTACAATTAATTTTAACAGAACTGTAGTGAAAAGATGTATCATTATATAGAGTAGGAGGCAGCAGTGCCAAGCACAACTACATCCTGCTTTTCAAACAGAACTGATTGTGTCAGTGGACTCAACACCCAAGGGCATTTGGCGGAAGTATCGAAAAATACTGTTGCCATTATTGTTTGAGATATTAAACATGTATAAATTAAAACATTTAGTCTGAAATAGTTAGAATGGTAGTATTATCAACACAATGCATATTTGGATACTTTTGTGATGGACCTATTTGATGTTTTGAATGCTGTCCTCTCTATCTAAAAGCAGTGTAAAATCGATACCTACAGTGGCAGAACCATTAATATATACAGACTGAAACCTTCAAGTTAGTGCTGTAGATATGCAGCAGATTAATTGGAAGAAATAAAATAATTCCATATTACTGTTAGACAAATCATAAAGTAATTTTATTGTTATAACAAGGATAATCTACAGTAATCTCAAGCCTGTTTGTAAAATAAAAGCGAGAATTCCACATGTGGAGAAATAGACCGTTGGAAGGGTTTTTTAGATTCAATAATTTCAGAGTTTCAGGTGGCAGTAGAGGAGTTCTTTAGAAAGCACAGCCTTCACTGAAGTAGCTTTATGAAATTTCCATACCTTTCCATAGTGTACCTGCACATGAGAGTACTTCGTGCTTAATGATCATTATAAATTGTGCAATGTCATTACCCAGATAGGACGTTATCAGATTGGTTTTCATTTTAAGCCAATTTGTTATTCTGCGCCAGACTTAATTTTAATGAAGCAATTAGAAAGCAAACTTAACGCCGCTCGGGTCCAGTGTGAATGAGTGATGCAGCAGCCTGGAGTTCCTGCCTGATTCAGTTTCCTGGTTTTTTTTACCCCCCGTTTGGAGACCCTGTAACATGTCACTGCTTCACTCGCACCTCAAACCAGAGGGCCTGTCCCCTCCTCAGCCACACCCATTCCTCTGCACAGCATCCTAATGCTTCCTCTGCTTGTTGCTGTTTTTTGACATCTTACTTCTCCCCTTTGTTTCTTTTCTTTTCTTTTCTCTTTTTATTTCTGTTTTTTTTTTATCTCTCCCTCTGCTGTCCGGATGCAGCCAAACGTAAAGCTTGGAAACTAAACCGTGTTGGTAGCCTGCGCAACATTTACAACAGCAGCAGCACCAACACCGAAGGTAAATACAGTGAAGGATCGGCCAAATGACCGAAATTAGTTAGCTGTCCATATATACATTTCTATATCTCAACACAGCCTGTCATTCCCCTTATCCCTTCGCCTGCCACTAACAGGGGTTAGTGGTCAATAAAGAGGATAAGAGCTCAGGTGATCAGTTTGGCGCATGCTTTGTCATCCTCTCCTGTGTTTTTCAGAGTCAGGTTCTGTGTGTGGTGGCTGTGTGTGTCAGTGCTGTGTTCCTCTGTCTCCACAGTAGAGTGTGACCTTTCTCTGCCTCCATAGTGCGATAACGTCTAAATTACTTGGTGGTGTCGGGGAAGGGGGGGATAAAAATCCATTTTTCTTCCTGTATTTTTTGGGGGGGTTGTTTTAATATAAATATATATTTTTCCGTAGATGTGGGCAATCCATGTAATATTTTCCAGGTTATTACCGTTTTAAAAGGGTGCGAATAATATCGAGAGTAATGATCTGTGTCTCGGTGCAATACTGTGTGCTGTGACATTTAAGTACAGTCTTTTAATTTGTGTTCCCTGGCCTTCCCCTGCCTCCCACCCCCCTGTGCCTTCATATCTTTCCGCCATCCTCCCCTCTTTTATAATGTTCTCCGCAGCTCGGATTGGGCCCTGCGACAGCAGCAGGTCATTTGCATGTGCCACCCTGCTTGTAAATTGTGTATATTGTTTTGCTGTTAAAGGTTGCGGGTGTCAAAGTTCACAAATTGACTTGCTTTAGTTCTGTCGCAAGCAGAGCTGCCGCACAAAGCTTCTGTTTAATGACAAGATTAGCTTCTTGTTTTTATTTGGGGGTGGGGGAGAGGGCTTGTGATGTGTGTGTGTGTGTGTGTATACTAAGCGGCGTTCTGTTTTCTTTTGTTTATTCCTTTCGGTATCATAGGCAGTTTCTAAGATTGTCTTTCTCTTTATAATGTGAGGTGTCAATCCTGTTACAGTGGTGGGGGGGATTATATATATATATGTGTGTATAATGTGTGTGTTGGGGGGGATCAGTGCATGATTATTCTGGTTATTATTATTAGTGCCACAGGGTTTTCAGGGAAAGAAGCACAGCCTCACTCCCAGTACCAGCTGGGGTAATGGGATCGCACACTGGGGTGTTTGGAATGCAAAACCAGTCACGTCTGAGTGGACTCCCTGTAATAGGCAAATGTTTTAGGTTTACGAAGAAACTGGAGGGGTCACAAATCGCGCAGCCTAATGCCCTTTTTTTATTCATTAATTGACTCCCGAGCGCTCAGAAGGAGTGGAAGCTTTAATTTATGCTTTCATGCTGCAGCTTTCTGGATTGTTGGTTTCCATAATTGTCAAACCACCTCCCCTCATCCAAAAAAGAAAGAAAATTTAATTATGATTAGAACATTGTTCCTGACCCCGAGGGGGCTTATCGGTGTAATGAGGGTCTGCCCTAACTGGGGTTGAGACAGGATGCTCCAGTGGGCGCAGAAACTACAAAGAAAGAACAGGCACCCTGTTTATTGCACTTTTTTGCCCTGTTTATGTACACTGTGCTCTCAGGTTTGTGTTTTTTCTTTTATGTAAGTAGAAAAAAACAGTGAGAATTCAACTCTGTAGAAGAAAACTCTGTGGTTTACTTTTTGATTTAGTTTGTCAGCCAGGAGCTCTTCTGCCTCTGCAGAAAGCAAAAACCATCTAGAATTTCAGACTCTTTCATTAGGACTTTAGGTGGAACAAGAAATTCGTTTAATACACAGTAAGTCAGAAGATAAATTGACTGTTAATTAAACAGAAATGGAGCATCCCTTTTGATTATTTCAGGCAGTGTATTTACTTATAAAGATTCATAAATATCTCCATGAATATTTCTGACTTACTGCTGTGCTCTTTAAGAAAAACGATTATGATATTGAAGTGTAGCATAAAGAATTGTAGTGTCAAAGTAAACACTTCTGTTAGACTGTGGTCACATAGCAGTTGCCCAGGGCTGAGGGCTCCACCTGAGGTAGCCCTTGTCACCCTGATATTCTTCCTGAAGGTTCAGGTGACTTGTGTTGCTAGGAGACTGCAGAAGCTACTGTGTCATATGACATTTTTGTTGACGAGATGTGGACAGTATTGACTTGAATCTGCTTGAGTCTGCTCCAGTTAATAAACCGAAAGTCCACCGCAGAACCTCAAAACAGACGGGGAAAGTTTTCATTTGAAATGGACTTGTCTGAGTCTCTTCATCAGCCAGTATGTCGGTCCATACTGTCCAGTTTACACAATGTGGTTGATTTTAATATGTAACAAATTTAACTACAACTACTGAAAGAAGACAGCCCTACTTCTAGACTAGGGTAGACTAGGGTCAAATATACCCAGGGACTGCCCCCAAAGTACAGTACACACATGGTGGGGTAGTCCCAATATAAGAAAAACATGGAAAAACATACGTGTCAACAAGGATATAGTGTTTCTTAGCGTTGCTGGTTTTTGAAAAACTTTTTAGAATAGATTTGACCCAATTCTATAGTGTAATATATAATATAATAATATAATATATATATAGTGAAACTTATTCTAACTGTTCAACTTATATTTTTAATTTGAATGCCTTAACATTCAAATTTAGTGAGACATAGAGTACTGTCTCATTCAAGTGAGACACAGAGTACTGTAACTTGCCTTGTATATGTGTCATTTTTCAAAACGTGTGTTTCATAACACAGAAAAAAAACTTAACGGTCCTTTAGAACCTCAGTCCTGTTCAGCAGATATTTGTGTGAATGTGGTAAAGGTTGTTTTACTTGCCCTGTTCTGACTTTGCTCACTGCAGAAGGGCATGTCTCTGCCTCTTATGTGGAGTAGCTCCTCTCTGTCTGTGTTTTCATTGTAATTTGGTTACAGGGCTCCTTTCCCTGTCCCAAGGTCTTTTAACAACCAATCAGACGGCTGCGTCATTTTTAACACAAGTGCCTTTGTTGTAGACAAGGGTGTATTAGCCCAGAGGTAACTTCAACATGAGTTGTCTGAAGGGATTCCAATTAGTTAAATTAGTAAGAGAATGGAATGAACTGTTGGCTCCTGTCTTTTAGTTCAGTTGGCAGAGGTGGCAGGAGGGGTTACAGAATCCAGGGTTTCTGATTCAAACGTTAAAACTTCATGTGGAGAAGACCTCCATTTATCAAAGATAAAGACAAAAGGGCTGTCGTTTTGTGATTAAGAGATGATTTTTTTTCTTTATTACAGTGGTGGAGTTATTGGGATATTTGGATTCTCACGTTGAGTAAAGGGATAAAAGGGTGAAATACTGTAGCTTAACTACTTGACAAGAAACATTAGACCTGATTATATCCTTTTACCTTATTAAACCATCTTCTGACTGCTTCGTGCATTTTAATGTTTTATGTGTATCCTAGTTACACGTTGACATTGTTAGTATAGAGTAAACCCAGATTTTCTAGCAAATGACAGCCAGTTGTCAATATTGTGATTGAATGTCTTGCCCAACAGCTAGACTCATACTTTCACCTGGAATTCTCAACTCGTAGAAACTCGGTAAATGAGCCAGTATACCGACAGTGAAGACTATGAACAGGACAATGTGCAGCTGAATCTGAAGGATGGAGTTTTGCAGGTCTTACATTCAAGCTTGAAATGGATGCCCCTTCCCTGTGTTTTGTGATTACTAAACCCATTTTTATTAGGTCAGTGCTTGCTGGCTTGATTTGCGTTCACATGTCAGGTCCATGGGCCGGACGCAGTCTGGCACCCTCTCCAAGCCCCAGGGTCTCCTGTCTGAGGGATCACCTGACCTGACCTCCCTCTTCCCCAGCTCCAGCTCAGCTATATTCCTAATTGCTAACAGAAGGGCCCCACTAGACACAGCCTGTCATTTCAGCTGTTCAGGAGAAACCATCTCCCCTTCACTAGAAAACAAGTGGAAGTAAATATTTTCCAACCCCAGGGTGACAAGTTAACTCTTTTTCCTGTAAGAGGGCACAGTTTAGCATTCATCTGCTTACATTTACAGCTAATGAGCAATTTTCTTTGTTTTTCTTCTCATTGAGGTAAACCATTGCAGTGTCAAGATACTATTCAAGCAGGCTGAATTAATAGTGTAATTGTGTTCTGTATTTTTTCCTTTACTGCTCTTTTGGGATGGATGAGGTGTATTTTATGTTCTGAAGGTATTTTTCCTTTTTCTGTTCAGTTGCAACATTGTAATTTAAAATCAGCAGTGGCATGTATTAAGTTTTCTTACCATTCAATCAATCCTCTGCTTGACTGGAAAGCAAAAAAAAGAAGTTTGATGTCAGCATATACATCCCTTAGTTCTGAAAAGTTGATTAGAACATAGAATCTGTTGGGAAGCATTAAAAACCAGCTTTTTTGGATGGACAGCTAGTAATAGATGAGGCATTCCTGAGTGATGACGATATGAAATCTACAAAACCAGTTGGGACAGGTCTCAAGTCAGTGTATCCATTACCTCGAGCTACCTGTGCTGCCATCTAGGCAGTGAATCCTTGCTAGTTTGACTTCACCCGTCAATATTCCTTGCTGGTAATCCTGGTCACTCCTAAGCCAAGTTGAGCTCTTCTGGACGTGAGTTAGCAATCCTTCCTCCTTCCTCCAGAGGTATTTGGATCACCTCTGGAATTGGGAATCTAGCAGAATGTCTTGACTTGCAGTGATGTCCCCCACTGAAACCCCCTGGCATCTAGCTATTACTACAACACCGCTGAAGATAACACAGAAGCCTGAGGAAAGAAGGCAGATTAGGACTCTATTATAGAGGTCGTAGTGATTGCCTGCTCATTATGTAATTACCCATCCGTCCCTCCCTATTTCTTTAAATTGTAAACAGAGCCCAACCAGTGTCTGATCTCATGTTTCCCCAGAATATCACATTTCTGGGGCCCCTTTGAACACCAATCATTTATGCAATGATGCTTCATCAGTGGGGATCTTAGTTAGAGCCATCTGTTTGCTCCTGACGGCATTTTTGGTTCTGAATTCTCTTTTGTTGTTAACAGTTTCCAAATGTGAACCCTTTTCCCTGTGCCTCCAGTCTTTGGCCATTTAACTATGTAGATGCCAGTGTAATACGCTCCTAATTGGCTCTTGATTGGCCCATTAACCTATTTTAAAGTTTGGGTAGTAGATCCATATGTCACCTCAGAAAGTCCCTTGATTGTAATCTGATTGACCTTCCCATTACGTGCTGTCAGAGCTGACAGTTCCTCTGTGCAAGAAGGCCAGGGGCAATTCTGGGCTGTAATTACAGAGAGATCCTGCTCTCCCTGCGCCTGCCCGACCAGCAGGGGCAGGAAGTGCTGATCAGTGTCCTGCAGCAAACAGGTGTGTTCTGAGAGGAAGTGCACAAGGAGAGGATTTGTTCACCACGGTAGCGCCCAGAGGATTTCTGAGCTCTTCGGCTGTGGACTCAAGAGTTTTATCAATGAGCTATACACCAGTCTCATGCAACATACAGCACTGCATTTTCATAAATTAGTTGTTAGATTTCTGAAGAGTTGGTCGGTTTTCTTTAGGAGATAAGCACCAAGAGTTTAATTTGCAGAAGAGAGGTGTTGTAGCCGGTACCCTGGTTTTCCTCAATAAACAGCTCCATGAGGTCCTTGGATCAGTTAACAGCTCTCGTACAGAACTACGTACCAACCAGGCTGAACAATCTCCCCTCGTTGGTAACCTCACTTACGTCCTGTGGGACCCTATTGGGTTTCATACCTCTCTCTTTCAGAACAAGAGGAGAACTTTGAGTTCATCATCGTGTCGCTGACGGGGCAGCAGTGGCACTTCGAGGCAACGTCGTATGAGGAGCGGGACGCCTGGGTGCAGGCCATCGAGAGCCAGATCCTGGCCAGCCTGCAGTCCTGCGAGAGCAGCAAGAATAAGGTGCGGCACGACTCCTGCCTCTGGTCCATGGGGAGGCGGCAGCGGACGCGTTTAATTTTTTAACACGTTTTGAACCAATTTTGGTTTCTTAATTAAAACGTAAGATAAAGCTGTTAAGAGTAGTCAGGTTCAGTTGTCATCTCATGAATTAAAGACGCAAAGAAAGACATCCAGGCAACTGGGACTGCTTTTTTAGTCAGTCTAATAATTGCCTACCTGCTGTCAAAATGGAAGATTTTGTTCATTTATTTTTATCTGCATATACCATAAGAACTTACAGTTTTCTGACAGAAATGTTGCAGAAACCAAATATTCTTTAAGATAAGCTCTAATAGCTAAGATCCTTTATCTGTTTGTAGTGTAAGTAGTTAGTATTATTATAGTTCTGCAGGGAAGGTAGTTGACTTAGTGGTGGCTGAGTGTAATTAGGCAGGTAGTGTGATAAGAAGTAAACCCTGAAATCTAATGGCCCCTAAGGCTGAAGAAGTGATATAAAGAGTTCTTTCAGCCCTTCCGACATCAGGTCCTGTTAGGCCTTTTGCTAACATAGTCTTGTGATATGCAGCCTTATCCTTCATGATAATATACAGTTCAAATAAGCACAGGGCCACATAGTTTACAGGTGACTGTATTATAATACTGGGAAAATAGGAAATTACACATGAAAGTTAAAGTTTTAGAATCATAGCAGGAAAGCCTGTTTTAACTGCTTTGCTTCAGAGTGCTTAAGAAAAGAGTCCGCCGGTCTAGAGCCTGTCACATGTGGTCTCGGCTACTCCTCCAGCCCACACTCTGGCCCTGTCCACCCAACGGTTTTTGGTGTGGGGGCTTCATTGCCAGGAAGGCGCATGCTGTTTTTCAGTTCTGTGTCAGCTGGAGAGGTACTCACCACTGGTGTGCTTTAAACCTCACAGGAATGTAATGTTAATACAGCACAGGTACATAACCTTCCCCCTCCCTGGCTAATTTTTCCCCACTGTAATTGGAAATGGCAATTATTCTTAACTTAAATATACCCCAAGTGATACCATTTATTTACCAGCTTTAGCTGAGCAGGGAATTTTGCTGCTGTGATTGTGTTTATGCCTGAGGGCTGGAGTAGCTGTGTTTAAAATATCTTTCCCATTTATTATGGTCCTTGTATTTATTTATTTACTCATTTTCGCACAGTAAAGGCAATGTGTTTCCAAGTACGGGACCGAATGGCCAAATAGCTTTCTGTCAGTCTGCTAAGATTGCGAGAGATGTGCCAGCAGGCACTTAAAACCTCATTGTGAATCCGCACTCCGGTTGCGGTCTCAGTGCGTTGATGAAACGCAGACAGCAGAGTGAGGACACTTTATTAGGAACTGAAATAAACAGGCATCCCAATCACACAAGTTGCATCAGCTGCTGTCAAGAACTCCGGGTCTAAGAATGTGTTAACTGCTGCACTGTGTGCTTGTTAATTTTATTACTTAACTCGTATATCCAAACTCTACAAATTTGTAATACTTACCAGATGATGAATTCAACCCCGCATTGCTGAATGTACAGAATGACTGACCGTTGTTTCATTGCTGATTCAGTCATAAAGAATGCCTGCTTATTATGCTTGTGCATTTTCTAAAGTACAGGGGAAACAGAGATAGTGGGAGGAGTGTCTCAGGGATAGCAGCTAATCGGGTCTGCAGGGCTGTCCGGTGACTGTGTTCTTTGTGTGCAGTCTCGCCTCACGAGCCAGACGGAGGCCATCGCTCTGCAGTCCATCAGGAACCTGCGAGGGAACTCCCACTGCGTGGACTGTGAGGCCCAGAGTGAGTACTGCAGTGGCTTCCACGTGGTGCACAGCTGGAAGATAGCCTGGAAATAACACAACCGTCGCTCTGAAACAATAGAACAGTGCAGTAGTCAATAGCAGTGTACACCTTAGACCGGCCTGAGTTATTCAGGCTTTATCAGAATTTCATCTCACATTGCCACTGCTATAGGTATAGAAGAAAGCAGCAATTTATAGAAGTAGTTGAAGTAGGGAGCTGCGTCAGCATGTGTAGGCTGCAAAGGAACAAGTAAAGGTTAATTCCATGCTGAAAAGAGAAGAAAAGAAACACAACCTTTTCGGCTGTGGAGCCTTTTTCAGACGTGAGTTTCTTTTCTTCTCTTTTCAGCATGGAATAAACCTTTACTTGTTCCTTTGCAGTTTATAGGAGTAGTTTCTTTCTGTAATTGAGGTCCTTCAAGTCGTGCCTTTCACCTGACCCTGGCTCTGTGCTGTCTCAGACCCGGACTGGGCCAGCCTGAACCTGGGCGCCCTGATCTGCATCGAGTGTTCCGGCATCCACCGCAACCTGGGCACCCACCTGTCCCGCGTGCGCTCCCTGGACCTGGACGAGTGGCCGCTGGAGCTCATCAAGGTCATGTCCTCCATCGGGAACGAGCTGGCCAATAGCGTGTGGGAGGGCAGCGCGCAGGGGCGGATAAAACCGGCCCCGGACTCCACCAGGTACGGCCCCCCAGGCGCTGGGCTCCAAACACGCCGCTCCTCTTCGCCGCGACGCTGGCTGACCTTTCCCGTCTCGCTCCTGGTTCCCCCCCACTGTCATATCTTCATCGGACACCTTTATATTAAAAAAAGGCACGCCACGTTTCCTGTCGCTATTTTCCATGCGCGGATGGAAAAATTCATTTTCAAGTTCATTTTACACTGCCGTAGTGCTGAGTAGGGCATGCTGCCGCTGGAAAAGGAGAGAGGAGACCACAGCTATTCCCTGTTAAATAGCAAGGCCAGGGCAGGGTTTGTAGAACAGAATGGTGGTGAAGCTGTGGCCAGCGTGGTACAGCAGGAGTTTCATCTGTGAAGTCCCCAGAGCCGGGCCCGGCCTGCAGCTCTGAAGCGTTCTCTCCCTGCCATCACCTGGAGACGTGCGAGGAGTGGGCTGTAATTATCGCCTGCCTGGGCAGCTCAGCCCGGCCCTGGCCAGTGATCATAACAAATTAGAGCTGACTACTGTTCACATGAATATCGACTTCCCATTTTACATCAGGATCATTAGTCACGAAAAGCACCTTTTAATTACTCTCACCAAAAAAAATCTTTCAGTATGGATCCTGTTTGGCTTCCATTTTTTATTCCCCGTCTTTTCAGTATTACATTTATTGTTCTTTTTTTTTTTTTTTTTGAGGCATGTAGCTCATTCAGTGTCAGAGGACAGATTAGAGTGGGGTCAATATTATCTCAATTAACCTGAGCCTCCTGCCAGAACTTTCCACTGATTTCACTAATTACTATCAATAGCACTTATAGCAGGGTTGCTTCAATTGCAAGGCACTCTCAGCTTGTCTGGAGGCGTCACTCTCGTCAGTGACAGGTATACAGAACTGTACCGCGTTTCGGCCAGGAGCATTCGATACACTGCACCTCTGCCACGGACATAAAGAACAAATGCATGAAGATAGTGTAACTGCAGTCGTATTTTTAATTATACTTGTGTAATTATGTCGATTCTTTGCCCCTTTCATCTATCCCCGTATTATTATTATTATTATTATTATTATTATTATTCATAGTTCCATTCTTGTTTTTTTTTGTAAACTGCAGCTATGTTCACTTTTGTGTGGGTCCATTTAGTTTCTTTCTCAACGAGAGGAATGGGATGGTTATTTATTTAAAAAACTGTCAAAAAGAGAACCTGCCAGTATTGATTTGAGTCTGTTTTTTTTTTTTTCCTGTCAAAAACAGAGGGAAGGAGGGAGGGAGAAAAGGCAGGGGGGGACAGTTGTTTTTGTGTATGGTTTTGCATTTTAGAGCGAGCGCCCGCGCAAGCTTGTGTCTGTTTGAAGACCGTTTCTGAGGGAAGGGAGGGGAGGGATAGGAAGCTGACCCTGTCCCAGCTGCGTTTGGGTGGCATCTGCTCCCCACATGTCATTTTCCTCATTAACAAGCAATTGAATTAATTAAATGCTTCTCACAGCAGCCGCACACATAACAAGCCGCTGTCAGCGTCCAAATTAGCACTGATCATCAATGATAATTTCCTTATTAGGTTGCTAAGTGGTGCTTGCGCTCACCGCTGCCACAGCGCTGTCCCTGCTGTGCCCTCTGTCGCCCGGCCTCGCAGGCCTGGAGTGACCACACGCTCACGCTCGCCTGACCCCCTCCCGCGCTGACATGGACCGGATCTGTACCGGATCGAGAGGCCCGGAGTCGTTTTTTGTGTGTCTTGAAACAAGTACGAGATGGAAAGACAACGCTAGTGCAGTGTCCAAAACGCGTCGGATTGATCTTTGCGGGGAAAAAAATGCAAACGAAATATATCTTGTGTCAAACGTATTCGTCTTGTGGCTGACATCCAGCTACGTTCTCTATCACTAATTTTCCGTTATTTCGCTTTTTTGTACAAAATTAAAAAACTGAAGATCTGCAAGTCTTCAGGCCAGAGCCCCTATTCTCTTTAGTTCCAACTGAAGCCCCTTGTCTCTTTTTTTAAAATCTCCTTTCTAGAGCAGACCCTTTTCTTCACTTTCTGAGCTCATAGATTTTACTCTCTCCTCTGATGCCAGCCTCCCCTGTCCCTTCCCAAAAAAAGATAAGACAGACCAAATAAAAATGTGGAAAAAGGCAGAAAATGGCCTGGTATTGTGTCCTGTACTCCTGGCTGATAAATTAAAACCCACCCTCGTGGTCTCTCAAGTGAGTAATAGAGGCAGAAATTTCATTTTGCAAGTGGCTGATTTAATGATCCAAAGGGTAATTAATGGCCTGATTATCTTAATGTTAAATATGGCCAGCAGCAATTACGCTGACCTCCCGCTTGTCAAGGTCTGGGCTACTCTTGCCTTTCAATTAAGGTCTGTTTTTGGGAGGGGGGGTGAATGGGGGGGGGAGGAAAAGAGGAGTATGACAGTCAGGATTAAATTCCCCAATTTTTCCTCTTCTCCATTTTTGTCCATGTTTCTAGATGTTTTATGGGAGAGGAGAATTACCCTCTAAGAAATGTCTTTGGGTATCACACTTTAGCTGTCACAAGAAGCATAATTAATGGGAGGATATAACAGATAAAGATATGCATCTCTGTTGCTCTACACAGATGTATTTAAATATATACAAATATGTATAATGTACCGGGAGGCATTAAACTGTAGTAAATGCTGGTGATACAACTACTCATTAATGCTTCTCAGGACAATGCTTCTCAGGCATTTCAGATGCCCTAGTATTTCTTGTCTTTGTGACTCTTCAGCAGCGTCATTCAAACAGTGCTTCAGAGAAAGCAGAACGTGGACTTGTGCATCTGTGTGTACAGTTTTCCTGACTTTAGTCATGTGGTGTTCCTGTTAGTAAAGATGTAACGTCTGTCCACCTGATATCAGAAAGCTTCTTATTGCTGGTAAGGGTCCTGGCCACCCAGGATAGGATGGAAAATGGGACAACATTCTGGGTGGGATGCCAGGCTTGAGCAGGACATACTCAAAGGGACAATCGAGCTTAGCAAAGCACATCCAAACATGGGGAGAACATGGAAATTCCACATAAATGGACGTAGCTTACCATCGGTTCTAGATCCCAAGAGCTCTGAGGCAGAAGCTCTAACCTCCCAACAAACATTTCCACCCTAAATGTATGTATATATATTCATTCCTTTTGAGAGACAATGCGGAGTGCACTTTTTGTGCCTTTTATTATTATTTCTCGCTTTTTAAGTGTTGAAATCTCATGGTTTCAGCTCAGTCAGCTGTTTTTGCTTCCTCTTTGATTTCACATGCTGTAGTGGCAGAACAGTATGGTGGAAAAGGATCTGTGCTTCGCATTCTCTACAAAACACCACGCAGAGTTTCTTTTATTAGAAGAATGGACAAGAGCTGATGCATGGAGGGGGGCGCACTGCGCTGAAATGGTAGTGCTACGCTTATCAGGAAAATAGAAATGAAGAGTCACACAATCAGGGTCAAAGGATCAGCTGGCCGAGTGAATGACTGAGCTCCTCAGAGCTGATGTTCGGTGTGTCAGCTGCTGATTTGGAGACACTGTGAGACAGCCACTGTTAACCATCTTTGCTTAAAAGAGGCTGGCACTGAGACGAATCTGATCAGACATCAGTTTTTTTTTTTTCAAATCACTTTACCATTGATCAGTTGATAATATTATGCCAGGTAGGTGGAGACAAAAGACTCTTATGAATAACAGCTGGGTGGACTGTCAACAGATAAATAAATAGTTCCATCTGTGTGTCTGTCCAGCCTCCCAGGCCCTGAGGTTCCTCTGAATTTACATGGCGATAGGCCACCACGAAGGCAAAGGTTTCTGCGCTGTTCAGAGAGCTAGGCCCATTAGGACCCTCCAGATCCTGGCAACTGAAGAACTGTTGGCACCTCAGATGTGCTCCTTCCCCATTACATTAATTATGGCGAGTGTGCTATTGACACCAAGAACCAATGCCCTCTTCCCCCCTCCCTTCTCTTTGACAGGCCAAATTAACTGGCATGAGTGCACAGGACTGACAGTGGCACTAATTGCGTTATTGTGGCCACGGCAGTCTCGTTGGCGGGCATGCCCCAGTCCTCACCAGAGCCGCAGTTTGTCAATGTTTTCCAATTCAGATTTCACATCTTGTCTAAGAGTGTGACTGTCTAGGATAACCCTGCCAGGCCCTGCACGGAGAGAAAGGGAATGCAGTTGCGAGTGTGTTAGATTGGCACTCTGTGCCAACTTCCAGCTGCAATCGTTTTTTCTCCCACTTCTGTTTTTTTTACATTTATGCCATTGCTTAATCCACCAGCATACCTTTTGCTGGCGTTGCATTCAGTTTGTGTTTACTGCTAGTGTTGAAATGTTAACCAAACTGCGCTTGTAAGTACTGAGTAAACTCCTAATTTGTAGTTTATGCAGGGTATGATTGTATAGACTTTTTGCTTCACAGTACATCGCATTTCCATCATAACTATTTGTAATCAATCAAAACTTCCATTGAATGTGCATACATCCACGAGGTAAATATTCTCAGTTTTTTTTTTTCTTTACTTGATCGTTTCCTAGCTGTTACATTGTTTTTCTGCAATTTCCTGGAAATCAACATAGGTTTAAAAATGATTGTGAATGGAGAACAAAAATGGAAAAGATGAAAAGGTTAGCTGTGGACTTGGTGAGGCAGAGGAAAAATCTATAGCTTTAGAAACCCTGCCTTAATACTTGGAGGCCTCACCTTAATTAGACAGCTGAAATATTGAATCCCCAGTGGAACAGTCATGAAGCGCAAATGCAGGCATATTTAGCAGAATGTGAGGGTAATGAGTGATGTTCAGGCAGTAATAATTTAAGGGTATATTCAGACTCTGAAAAGGCTATCTTTATGGCAAGAGATCCTTCTTCTTTCTTTAAATAAGGGCAGTGGGAACAGATTAAAAATTAGACAAGCTTCTAATCTGTGCATGGGTACAGGTGTTGCTCCCTGCAATAGGGAAGATATAGGACTCCTGGGGCCAATTGGGCTGGGAAGAGAACTGGAC